TCTTTTCTCCTGGCAAATATTCTTTACACAGTGGGTTTCACTCAATTCTAGCCTAGCACCTTGTAAAAATCACACAATCAAGTGGCTCCAAGCACATACACACATACGTACATGCAGTCACTGAATAGAGGCCTGAATCAGGTCAAGGAGGTGTCTGCACTTCACAGCAAGATGCCCAGTGCCAGCTGGAAACACAAGGTCAGCTGAAGAAGTGGCAGTTGCTACAGAGACTACAAGTTTCACTACCTTTCATCTCAATCAACTTAAGAGTTTTCAGGCTCAAGACATATATTCAAACTCCAGGTCAGCAAAACAAATCTTCTAAAACAGAAATCCTTACTGGCGATCATCAAATCTGTAAGATTTGGGAACAGTAGATGCATTTGCTTATTGAAGTTTTCAGAGCAACTCTTAACAGAAAGTTAATTGTGTTTATTTTACAAAGGGCTTAAGTACAACGGGTTACATCTTAAAACACCAGTGCTTAAGGATGAAGCTGCAGTGAGAGTTCAAAACATGGTAACTCTCAAGTCTGTAACAACAAGGTACCAAATCAGCAAGATTCAGATCAAGTCTACACAAGCCACTTCGTAATTTGGCAACTCTTATGACTTCAACCTCATACTCCTAAGAAAGTAATATCCCCACGTCCTCATTCTGTCACTCCAGATTTCAATGGTGTACAGTTTTGTCAGCTAGATTCCTGACACACACACAAAAGCCAAATGGTTTGAAAGAGACAAAAAAATATACATCCATCTCTCCCCCTTTTCCCAGCCATTATTAAACAAAAACCTAACAAACTGAATCCTAGGGATTTTATTTTTTTATCATCTTGCTGGGAGTCCTGATCTCTTCAGAACCCATTACAACAGCAGAAACAAGACAAAGTGCTCTGTTTCACAAAAACATGCACTTAAAGACTACGAAGCTTCATTGATTTATTTCTTACCCAGGAAGATGTTCCTATAATTAACATTACTGATACAAACAACACTCAGACCTCTTGGCTCCCAAACATAGTATTGTGTTGGATGACCTGTGCTCTAGCAAACATCACCAAGCCTGTAACATCTTAGAGGTAGATGCAGCCCTGCGGTCTTAACACTGTAAACCAACTGCAGAACTGACACATTGAACATCCAGAACATAATTCAATAACCTCAAGGGCATGCAGCAAATCATAAACATGTATAGCCAATCAAGCTTAACTACAGTATCAGCATACACAATCTGAGCTTGGTTTCATTCAAAAAGCAAAAGCAGCTTATTTATATTTTTCTACATCAATAGAAAGACTTTAGCCTGCCAGAGTATTATGAGAATCTGAAGTTCTTTCAGAGAACATGTAGTGAAACTATGTGCGATAAATTTGCAAAAGCGTGTTTTAAGAGGCTTAGTTCTTGACTTAATCAAAGCAAGTGTATTTCAGGGAACTCAGAAGCAGAGCTGCAGAATGAAACAAATTCTTAGCTCAGTACTTGAAATGAGGGGGTATGGGGTAGGGAAATCAGTTTCAGGATCATCCAACCCAAATTTTAATTTTCATCTGCTATAAAAACATTTTGGTTTGGGTTGAACCATGACCTTTTTTTTTTAACTTTTAGAATGCTTTTCCATTTCTTAAAATTATGTTTACTACAGCTTTCTATAAAAAAATATTGTTTAGAAAAATAAAACATTTTCATTTCCTCACTGTTTTTGTCATTGTGACCACAGATAAAACCGTTCAAGTTTCACTAAAATCCACAGGTGGTTTTGCATCTTTTGGCAGCAAAGCTCCATACCAACTTTTTTTTTTTTTGCTTGTCTTTAATGGTCACCTTGTGCTACCAAGCCATATATGCCCAGTGACAACCTGCCAACCTAACTCCCTGCAGGCAGCATACACACAGGTAACATTGTCGGCATGGTGAATTATATCAGTTACGGACTCAATCTGATGATGTGTAAAAGCCAGTACTAGGGAAGCAATAGGATTATTTTTTCCTCTCTCTCTGACTGAATTCAATTTATTTGTGTAACCAGGGTGAAAGAGGAGAGGAGTAAGGAGAGTTCCCCAATATTATTTTAGCCAAACGTGTTGTATATCTGAATTAAATGCTGTACTGGGTGGAGGTGAGAAGGAGAGCAGAAGTGTGGAAGGGAAGGCACGAGAAAGAAAGAGTTATGAATGTGGTATCTGGCCCCAAAATTTTGATTTTGACTATGCAGTTCAACAATAACTAGTGCATGTTATTCATTACTTTGCACTCTGAAAACATCTTCCCCCTTCTCATTAAAAACCATACTAAATACAAATAAATACAAAGAGCCTGTTGAACAGAAGATAATCCAGTGGGGCAAGCCTGCACTGAAGTGTGCAAACCCCTTGATCCAAAAGCAGATCCAACATCCCTTAGGGATCAAAATCAAATTAGCTGCCACCAGCAGGAACATCTGCACCTTTCAAAATGCATCATGGTCCTTTCTGATGTTTTGCAAAATGTCACAGGCTGGGCAAGGTCTGACTCAGAGGCCTCACAAAGGATGAGGTGACCTAACTGGTGAGCTGATGATTTCATGGAGGGGATGTCTCCTGTGAGTCACTCCTGAACTTCCTTCAGTTTTGGGTGCTGAGGGAGACATTCTTGACTACGAGATTTGAATGACAGTTGACTTACCTGAACTTAAAAAGCCCATATTATTTTACAGAGGTCATCATTTTATATTGTTTCCTTGGCCAAATGTCACACATAGGGAACTATATTTCTCTGACCCAAGTTCTTGTTGCACTTTTCAACCATCTGCTCTTGAAGACTTTCTACCTATTGACCCAGCTGTGACTGCTAGTGGTGATCCTGTGATTCTTTCTGGAAATTACTGTGGCTCAGTACTCAGTAATAGTTACAACACTCTCTCAATCCTCATAAAAGAAAGGCACCTCTATACAATTAAGATGGTTTGTGTGAAAATAGATGGAAGCTGTTTGTCACATCTTTTTCCCCAGAATATTCATTGCTCCAGGAGTTAATCCATACGCCCTGTTTACAAGATGAAACACCTTCTCTCATTCTTTTTCAATAAATATCATGAAAATATATTAGATTGTTGGGACTTATACAGAGATATTTGGCAGACTTTTCAGGGCTGTCAAAGATAAATTGAATATGTGGCTCTTCTACAGAGTGAATTATCTAAATAAATAATGTATTAGGAAAATCTCACTTCTTAGCTATGTCTGATTCATTCTCTGATAAATATATATGCATTTGCATTGATGACAGTGAGATTGCAGAACACACAACAGAAGAAAATATGTCCTTAAGCTGTTTCTGTAATATTCATGGTAGAAAACTGACCAATAATACTGTTATAGTGAAATAAACAAAAAACACCTCTTGAGGTATAGGAAAGGGTGTAATTTATTTTTCTTGTTTCAGCTTTTCATTATGCTTGATTTTAGTTTATCTTGTCAAGATTTAACACAGGAAATGCATAAAACTAGCAATAAACCCTTTATCAATTGCGTCTCACACAGCACTGCAAAACACTTTCCAATAGCTTGTAATTCACAGAAAGCCAGCACTAGGTTTAGAAGGCCAATTGGCTTCCTGCTATTTCTGGACAGGTATCTAGAACCAGATACAATGTCACAGCATTCATACAGCATGCCAAAACTGGTCTAGATATGTGTACGTCTGATCAGTCTTAACATACACTGGTCTCCGTAAGCTAAGAGAAACTACAGAGGTGCTTACCTATAGCTTTGAAGGAGAACTTCATGATCTTCTACCAGACATGGGAAAATACAACCTTTTGTATTTGTGTAAGTGGTATCACACGAAGTGTTCAGTCTCAGAAGGGAGATATACTGCCCCCTGCACTGGAACTACTGTGAAGTCACTGACTACCGACTGTTCACATCATGAAAGAAAAATAAAACTACAGTTGAGAACACTAGTCCTTTCAAAAAAAGGAGGAGGGGGACGACACCACCTTAATACCTTCATCACAGCAGAGATTAAATGGTCCTCTCAGATGTATTTAGTGATATAACCATGCAACATTCAACTAATACTGAACTCATTGTGTTCCTCTTAAAGACATGTCATGCAATTAATACAGTAGATCCCACTTTTGCCAAAGAAAGATCTTCCTTGAACGTTTTTTATTTTAGTTTTTCAGCTGCAAGTGATAATAAGGTATTTATGCGTTTGACCTGTAAGAAAGGGAAGTGTCAATGCAAAGATAGTTTTAAAAGCAATCTCTTACTACTCAGGAGTAGATGATAACTTTCTTTGCTAGATGACATAGTAAGCCTTTCCGTGTTCATCAATAGCTGTTTCAATACACGTTCCCCTTACCCAACTGGCATATCCATAACATAAGTAACAGGATTAAATGGAAAATTCAGACTTGACAACAAAGATTTGAATAAGCAAGCATAGCAAAGCACTGCACAGATAATCTAGCTTTAGTCTGTGAGACTATCTTCAGATTTCCAGGACAGAAACCTGTTTGGTTTTGCAGCAAAGCAAAAAAGAGGGTAGGTCTGCAATGACATCATGCAAATATGCTCTGGCCAGGCTTCCTCTGTGTCAGTGAAGTATCTACAGTCCACAACACCTGCCTGAACAAAAAGCGTTGGCAGGAAAACTGAGAAGTATCTGGAAAAATTCAGCACAAAGCTATCCCAAATCTCAGTGTTTCAGAAGCCAAGATAGCTTTGAGCAAGCAACTCAACAGCCAAGACTCATCTGGCCTGGCCTTATTGTCTAGTGTGAGGACCGTGAAAGGCAGATAGAGCTGAGCACCAGATGAGATCTGATTCTAGATGTTGCTTATCCAGCATTAAGACAAAACCCAAACATCTGGCTGCACCTTCCACTAAAACACACAATAAACATGAATGCTTCTAACTGCAAAAAATTAAAAACTAGAGCTCCAAAATGTATTTGCATTTCAGCTGCATGCAAAACTTACCCAGGTACTCACTGATTAACTTTCTATTCCTTTAGCAATTAGAAAGATGAAGCGTATTCCTGTGGCAGCACTGACTCATGAAGCCAGTGCTGATCAAATATGGGCCACTACAGGTGATAGGATCCTTGATGAAGTAAACTTCAGCCCTTACTCCACATGCCAAAGACACAGAGAATTTATCACAGGTATCTTATATTGAGTATACAACAGACAAATCACTCAGGTGCCAAATAGAATATTTCCCATATTCTAAAAAGTTTTGTTATGCCTCAGAAAAGTAGAGCTGTTCTGGATTAAAGCAATAGAGAAAACCAGTGGCATCTTAGACTGCTTGCCATGCAGAAGCCTAAAAACCACCCCACCCCCCAAAACAAATAAACGAGACTTAGAGTAACTTGTCAGTGTTCAATTTTCTTTTTCCCCATCTGGAAAATTAGAACAGTGATTATCTGTCTCGAAGGATGACCATGAGAGTTAGCCGTAGATTTAAAAGGATGTTAGATGTGCAGAATACCACATTCAGAAAACTAGAATTATTAAACTGACAAATCAGCAAAATAATTTAGGGGTGTAATAATTTGATTTCAGATTAAAAAAAAAATAAAATCACACTACTGAAAGTTCTCTCTTTCAAAAGAATTCCCATCACAAATTCCACTTTCAAATTCTACAGCAAGGCCTCACACCTACTTACATTCAGTACAGATTTAGAAAAAGCCATATAGAAGAGAAAGAATCAAGATTTCCCTTTCTTCTGTGGAAGCTCAAGTTGTGGGATTTTTATAGAACGCAAAACTAAACACTACTATTTCTGCTGCAAGTTTCCCAGAATAGTACTTCAAATGAGACCTTGGGCAATGCTTTTTCTTCCAAGGGAAACAATAGAATCAGATGCCTACACATGTGCTCTACCACTTGAAAGAGGACTACAGCTTTATTCACAGTTAGGAAATGCCTTTCAGATTTTATAGTTTTTTTAAAAAACAGTGCCAATGGGAAAACACACGAAAGTGCTGCCATCTTCAGTAAAAATCCCCCTCAGCAGCCAGGGCACACCTGCTTTGGGCACAGACATTTCAAAGCTCATCCAGCCCAGTAGGGTAGGCTTGTAGTCTGAGAAGCCTATCAATCCCACGTATCCACTTTTTGTCATCCAGTTAATTAGCTGCCAGCATGAGAGTGAACTAGAGAGATCTTTTCGGCCAGAAACTGACATAATGTAATGGCTTGCCAATGAGAAAATCTGGAGAGGTCCCATTTTCTGTCATTCCTCCTGCATTGCTATTGGAAGTGGAAAACAACATCATTTTAACAAACAAATCACCAACAGGAACCTGAATATAAGTTTCAATAGGCCAGCACTGGTTAGGACTCTTCCCTAGCATACAATTATAAGCTACCATCAAAAAATTGTGACCACCTGCAGGTCTGTTAAGAATTTTCCTGCTTGCTTAGAGCATTGTTTTGTCCATAAATAGCTGAAGTCATCATCAACATTGTTATTTACTGGACATGAGAAAACACAGAGCATCTGTCTCTCAATTCACTCAGTTTTCATGCTCTTTCCATGAAGAATCCTATTGTCTAAACACATTTACTTTTGAAAATATTTAACATATGGTCCATAATGACATTTAACAGAACTCTTGCTTTCCTTGTGACCATGCAAGCCAGGCTGCTGTCATTCCTGCCCCACACACCTCCCTTCAGCCCAATAAACTGACCAGTTTCAAGACAACACAAAAGGAGATAGAACCTGTGGGAGTGAGAACAGGACAGAGTGGTTAGAAGAACAGGGCAGTAGCCTGTTCCTCGCTGAGCCTTCCAGAGTGACAGAAAATGAGCACCAGTGATGGCAACATCAATGGCTAGGTGCCATGGGAACCTGAAAGAGTCAGGCTTGTGTGTTTGCTACCTGGCCCCAGGAAAGACAGGGTCTGCAGTCACTGCAGGAAAGTCTCTACTCTTCAGGAACACGTGAAGAATAAACAGAGGAGACTCCCTAGCCCAGTCCAGGAGTGTGTACCTCACAGCTGGACCCACTACACTGACATGCTGGGTTCTTGGCTGGAATAAGGTCTCCCTCCCACCTGACACAGAAGTCATGCCTCTCACTAACCTTAGTTGAAGAATAACCCGTCCTAAACCATGGAAAATGCCTGTCTAGTATAAATGAGACTCCCACTACAGCTGAACCTGTCAACCTAGTCGTGCACTCTTTAGAATGATCTAGACTGAATAACTTTTTCAAACCCTGAACAGCTATCTAAACTGAATGACCATGAGTGTTGGGTGGTGTTTTTTTTTTTTTTTTAGTTTCCCTAGTCTCTTCAGGATAAAATATGAAAACATGATTCTGGCAAAAGCAGATTAGTCCAGCACTAGGGAAGTAAAACCTGTACACCGAGTGATTGCTTTGGCTCTGAGAAAATTTAATCTTCTCCCACCAATTCCTTTCCTTTTTTTTCCCTCCCATTAAGCAAAAGCTTCATATGTAACCACACTTTTTCTGTAGGTTTTGAACTAAGTTATGTTTTGGTAACCTACAATTAAAATACCTTCAAGTTAAACAGCATGATTAATGCATGTCCATGCCTGTAAATTATCTAGAGAATTACTTCAATTAAATATCCACCAGTTACAACATAAGGAGTACTACAATTAAACCTCTATCAACAAAGGATTAATCAATAAAAAAAGGATTTGTAAAAAAAAAATCTAAGTAACTAAGATTTATTCTCTTATTAATATTTCTTTTTCCCTCCTCAAGTAACAGATGCCAGACAATTTAGTCTCTTCTTTAAGAAGAATTTTAATTTAACTTTATGTTTAAATGGTCATTAATTCCAGATTTTCCTATTCACAGAGGAGCTTTATGACAGTGAAAGAGACCCTTCAAAAAACTGAGAAGGAAAACACATAGATATACAGATATATTTTAAAAGGATGACTAGCACTGCTTTTTGCCTGCTGACTTTTTCTAAAGGTCTTTCTTAGTTCTATTTTTCTTCCTACACAAGTCATTGATTTATATCTAGTTTTAAATTATCACATCTTAAAATATGCTATGAAACCTTTGAATGCCCATTTCCTCCTAAAGCCATTGAGATTCTCAAGGAAGACAGACAAGATATTCAAAGATGTGCATATTACCAACTATACGTGTTACTTAAAACTGTTAGCAACTTGGTGATTTTCTCCAGTTTGCTATCACTTAATAGGAAAAATGACAAGACATATATCAAAACTTCATGCTCGCACTGTTGATTTTTAAGCTTTTGGCTGAGTACCTCCACTACACTATAGCTACGATATACTGCAGCTCCTACATAAAAACGATGAACTTCCATCTCCTTCTGGAAACACACTCTACAGAACTTACTGCCTCTCCTGCTGTGAGAATGGTGAACTGCTCCAAGGGTCAGTGTCCGAAGTTTCCAGTATGGCAGATCGTATAGTTTCATTCCCATCACAAAAGCCACAGTACACACACTGTGCAGTAGGTCAGACGTTTTCCAGAAATGCAGTGTATGATCTACAAGTTATACCTCTGATACAATTGTACCTTTGAAAACATCAGTAGCCAGGAACAAATCAGGTGCATTGCCCTGGCAGAGGATGAACAACCCAGGAACAGGTTAAGCCTGACTACTGCAAGGCCATTATTACTCTGTAGATATGCAATTATTGGTTAGTAGCATATAATCACAAAATGGTTTGGGTTGGAAGGGGCCTTAAAACTCATCTAGTTCCAACTCCCCTGTCATGGGCAAGGGCATCTTCCATTAGACTATGTAGTTCAAACCCCATCCAGCCTGGCCTTGAGAAGCCAGGGCAACCACAGCTTCTCAGTGCCTCAGCACTCTCATAATGAAGGATTTCTTCCTAATATCTTACCTAAACCTACCCTCTGTCAGCTTAAAGTCATATTACCTTGTCCTGTCCCTACATTCCTTTCCATAAAGTCCCTCTCCAGATTTCTTGTAGCCCTCATTTAGGTACTGGTATTGTCATCATCTGACACTTCACTTGACTGAGGAAGCTTGCAGTGCTGAGAGACTTGGGCATGGCTATGGTTCTTCCCTAGATGGAAGGAAAATGCTATGTGCTACAGAGGCAGAAAGACAATCTAATAGTTGTTGATAATTAGGCTTTTCTAACCCTGACTTTTCACAGGTAACATATTTTATATTACATATATGTATATATCATACTTGTGCTTGACCTATTTTGTTTGTATTTATTTTCCCTAAATGAAAGAAACTGGATGGAAGGATTTGTGGTAGTGAGGATTACATTTGTGCATTCTTCTGGTGAGGAGAGGGGACAAGGTTTGAATAAAACCCTAACACAAACCAGTGCTCAAAACTCTGGAGAAGGTAGTAGGCTTGTCTTCATCTCAACCCTTAAGTGAGGATGAGAGAGAATGTAGATTATTGTCTATCACAGAACAGGAATATTTAGCAAGAAAAAGGGAAAACCTTTACTTTTTTAGGGAACGCAGTCAGGTCACTGTGTTTTACAACAATAGAAACGGTGGGTCAGCAGAACTCTACAGAGAGGAGAACTACCTGTCATTTTTATGGTCAAAAGTGATAGTGACCAAGCAGAGAGTTTATACAAAGTCTAGCAAATATGTGTTTCTTTCTCTGAGAGCTCCTTTTATGAGATACTGGCTGGGCTTAAACCATGACACCCAAGTAGATCAGTTCATCACTGATGTGCGTGAACTGGAAAACCCCAAAACCCTTACAGGCAGCTGTTGCAGACTCTGCCTCACTCTTTCAGACTCTCATCTAAACATGAAGGTAAGCTTGGCAGAATATTTCATTTCCTCCCTTAGTCAGGGAAAATATACTTTTCTCTATTTACTGAAAAGGGACTGAGGATTTCCTGCACTGCTTTATGCTAATGACCAATCTGTAACCAATCCCTAAAAAAGGCAAAACATAGTAATGCCCAAGCAGAACCCACAAGGGTGTGTTTCTTTAACAGTGAATCAGTTATTCCAGCTTTAGTTGACAATACCTATTTCAAAATCAAGCATTTCAATGGCAATATTGAGTATACCAAATAAAAAGGATTTTTCTGAATGACATCCCCATTTTTCAAAGCTCTCTCTGGAGGCTGTCAAACCTTATACACCATTCAGCAAGTACAAGAGCTTGCTGTTTATTTCAGAAAGCAAAGTGCAGTTAAGGGGATCTTGGGATAGAGGAGAAGTATCCATCAGGCGAAAAAGAAGTGTTAAAAATGGCGTTTGCCTAACAAATAAAAAGGCTTCTGAGGTATTTTATTATATCATGGAAAAAAAACCACAATTAAACTGTCATGCCATACATTCCCCAGCTGCCATAAATACAGGATAACTAATGGGATTCGGGAGTTTGATTTCATTGCTTCAGAATAAGAAGTTTTAAGTCCAGTACCCACAGCTTTATCTGCCCCAAGGCTTATCAACATTATTCTCTGTACTGCTTCAATTGAATCATAAGTAGTATTTCTACATCTCTAACAATGCTTTTGTTTCTAAAACACGGTTCCAGAAGCTTAATAAAAAAAGGGCAAAATCTTGCTACTTTTTCATACAGGCACACCAACGTCTAGATCAGAATCTGGAAAGGACCCACCCCAGTCCTCCATGCTTTGCTGGGTCCTTAAGTCATTTGCTGTATTGATGGCATAGGCAGACAGCCACCCTTGAGCCTTCCTGCAGGGAAAACAAGCACACTGTAATTGAAGATGCAGATTAAAGGTCTGTACCTCCCTAACAGCTCCACACACCACCTATACGTGGTAGTGAAGCAGAACATTTGCAGGAAAAAAAAACTCTTTTTGAGGGATAACATAATTGCAATGCTCTGAAAGAGATCACAGCCCTAAATTTGAAATGTCATTGGCATCATTTCTGAGCTCTTCAGAAACAACTAGGAACTACACAATAGGTGACAGTTGCATACCAACAGCCTAGAGTATTTTTTCAATTCACTGTTTTGGGAGAAACACTCCAGCCTCATGCTGTAGGGAGCAGCGGTAAGGATCTAAAACCTTACATACTAAATGGACCTACCACCTTACTGCAAGGCAGACACATTCAGAGGAGCAAACAGGGTTGCAGACATTGGCTTACCGTAATTTTTCCTTCATTTGGCTAGGGTACAGTCATTCTGCTAATTGAAACTCCTACCACAGTGTCAAACAAACAAATCAGATGAAACACACTTTGCCAGTACTTTGTCACATTCCAGGCCTCCTGCTGTTAGTTACTGTCTGCATATCCTAAGGCACCAACAGATGTAAGGCCTGATAAAAGCTGTTTCCCTGATTTCATGTCCAAGAAAAATTAATAGGTTTTATTCTGCAATGCATTCACACCTGGCAGATTATAAAAAGACTACAACCAGGCAACCCATCCCCTTGCCCACACTGGATTTTGGAGTCTGTGAAGGTTTTTAAGCTTCTCCGCATCAATTCCCATCTCTCACAGGCTACACATACCTGAAGAAGGACTGTGAAAGTCAGTTTTTCCCTGCCAAAGATGCCAGAACCATATATCTATTCTTCTCCTCAAGAGGATAACATGTGAAGGAATATACCCAGATAGCTAGTGCTTAATCAAACAGCACCCAAAATTGCTGCCACCAAGCATTGCTCCAAAATAAGTTCTGTTTGTCATACACACACATTTCAAACACTGAAGAGTACCTGGACAGACTACAAAGGTTTTCTTTAAAAACTGTCCATTGAAACTAGGGAGGATTACAGCGTCACCAAATAGCAACTTTGGCCCACAGCACCAAGTCAGAGCCACAGCCAGATCCAAACCTACTCTAAAGTTTAGTATTAAATTTCCTCTAGGACACCTTAAGATGCTACGCATTCAAGATAACCATCCAGCAGCATTGACTCCTCCTGGTAAGGTTAGGTCCTGGCATATCTTGTGAGGCAGGAGACAGCCTACCTTACTTGCGCCAGCTGCATTACTTTCTCCAGAAAGACTGATTAATCTGCCTCTGGAATCAAAGTGTACTTTTTCCTCTTAACATTTCTGATTAAAACAATGCATATACATGTCTACCATTTAGTGTTCCCTTATGTAAGTTTTTAAGTAACGTAGCACAAGAAAATTCAACTGGAATATTTTTTTTTTTATTTATTAGTTTTTCAATTTGGGAACTAACTTAATGCCTCCATTTGGTCAACAGCTATTCTGCTTAAAGCATAGCTTTGACGCCTGTCACAGCTCCCTTCTCACACACATCCTGACCCAATTCATTTAGATGCTGTCCCATAGAATATCAGGGGCTTCACCTTCATTTCATACGTTCTCACTTGCTACACTGCAATAAAAATCCAGAAGGTTCCCTCGAAGTCAGGATTTGGACAGTTAACAATGATTCTTCATATATGCTGACCCCATTTTTTCTTATGGAGCCATCACTGTTGACATCACTTTACCAGGTGGCGCTTTTAGTCCACATGGGCCCATGAAAACTGAAGAGAGCAAAAGACAGGTACAATATATCAATTTGATGTGCAGGCCTGAACATCTGAACGTACTATTCAATCCTCTGCTTTCAGGTTTTCTCTGCTTCCCGGCTCCCAGGGGTTCCTTTTTTTACTGTACGCTGTGAACATAACTGCACTGAGCCATTTCACTGTAACAAGCTCATTTTGTAACCAACCACAGCAGTAACAGCTGTTCATTCCAGAGCCAGCACAGACAGGCTGCACCCAAGTGGCGCTCTGAGCACTGGCAATTTTGCTACTCAAATCAAAGGCAATAATAACACACAGTATGTGTTGGGGAGATGCCAGAAAAGGTCTCACCTGATTCAGAGTGGTTCAGGATTGTAACAAACCTTATTGTCCTTTGCACTAACAATAGACATATTGTAGGGCATAATTTTGAATTAAAGTAGAATGAAAAAATTATGAAGTTTGTCCAAACTAGGAGATTAGAAAAGCACATGAAACATAACAGGAAAAGTGGCTGAAAAAGCACGTGAAGAGTGCCTTGGAAATACTCAAGGCTAAACAGTAAAAACTCTCTTAACTATACTAGGCCAGCAAGGGAGCTGGGAAAATCTTGATGATTATGCTATAAAATGGGGTCTCTGGAATGATAAGACCACAGCCAAGAAGCTCAATATGCTCTTTTTGGTCAGTTGTTACTACAGAAGGCATTGGAAGTATCCCATGTCTTATGGCATTCATCACAGCAGACAGCTCAGAGGAGCTAGATCAATTTAAAGCAAGTACACACGAAGTATTAAACCAAATAGACAAACTGGATGTTAGTACATCACCAGAAGTGGATGGCATTCACCTGAGAGCTCTGAGGAAATTCAAATGTGGAACTGCAGCACTGCTGGCCAAGGCTTGTAGCTGATAACCACAGAGCTGCTATGACAGGACTGCCAATGGACTCACATTTACAGAAAAGGCTCCAAAGGCATCATGGAGAGTGATCTCCAGCAGCAGTATGACAGTCTACAATAAACAGAAAGCATAAAGGGAAACTGAATCTGTGTCAAGGAGTCACCATAGCTTCTGCAAAAAGCAATTCTGCTTCATCAGCTGTCTGGATTTCTACAGGGTGTCAGTAAGCATGCAGGTAAATGGGATCCTGCTGATAAATGCATTTAGATTTCCAGAAAGCCACACCAAATTAAGACACCATACAGCTGGTTTATAAAGGCTCTTTCAAACATGAAAAACAGCTAAAATGATAAGAAGAGAAAATTAAGAGCTTAGTTAACAGAAAGTCAAGAAAGCAAAAAAAAAAAAATTAGGAAAGCAAATCTCCAGCTATCAGGGAAACGCAATCACATTTAGATTATAGACAATTAAATTACTTAAAGAAACTGACAGTTCTTGTTAGAACTAGCACTGTGAAACTGGTGAATTTTCCACTCTGAGTGCTGTAGAAGCAAAAACTATATTTGCTGGTTTAAATCTCTGGATTAACATTTACTTTTCTACTTACTTCATCAGTTCCATTAACAAAGGTGTAAATACTCTAGAACTGGGACATCACAGATAGATTTACATCCTGTAAATCTTACAAGTACTTATATAGGTTGATCTATTATTGTTATTGATAGCAGAAGACACACTTAAGCATTAAAGCTATACAACTCTGCAAAGTAATACACCCCAGCTGGGTCCCTCCCAGTGTTACCAGGCTTTGCATGCTGTAACACAATACTACCTGTCCTGCCTCCTTAGATTCAGCCAGACCAGTAGCGCACCATTTTGGCGGTGAGCTAACAGATTCAATAAAGCTTTTGAGTGGAAGTCATTAACAACATCAAGTTCATTTGATACTTCAGTCCTAGCTATCCCTTCAGAAGAGCTACAGGCATCTATCTTTTTCTTGCAAGTAAGAAAAAATGAGGGACTACAAGCTAGTTCTGCGAGTCCCAACCCTCAGTTCTTCTGAAGCCAAGAAGCTTCCTGATGAGCAAATTCTTGGACTTGCCTCCAAGCATTATCACTTAATAAAAGACCCCAAGAACTTCATTAGAGCACAGCAAAATGGCAGAATGTTTAGGCTGGACCCAAATAGTCTTTCTTATTCCCCAAGTATTTTCCAGTAAAACATAACAGTGCAAGAGATTAAAATGAAACATTTCAGAGCTCATGCTATCCAAATTTTCTTAAAATTTGTATCTAGTTACCAATTTCAACCTCTCTTTTCAGATCCCAGAATTTTTTACAAGTTGCTTACTCTAGCTCCAAACCAGTATTTGGATTTGTAATTCACATTACATAGTGGGAAAACGAGTAAAAGGAAATACAAAGGCCAAATTCTTAAGTGTCCATGAATTTGTCTCCTAACTACTTCACATGACACGTAGGGTCAACCACCCAGTTTTAAAGGACTGAAAAGCATAAGTTTGTTGCCCTTAAACAATTACCCTAAAATCAAACTGCTCATATTTTATGGATAATTCTGAACAACAAAGCATTTGTGACTTGTCCAAGACCACAGAGAACATCAGTGACAGAACTGGAAACACAACCCATCTTTCAGATCCTCGATCCAATATTAAAACCAGAAAATTCTTTCTGAAAAATCCTTTCTCTTTCACAGAACTTTTTTTTGACAAGAAATTTCACTCAGGAGCACAGAAAGTTTCCTGACAAAGCTCCTTTACAAAAACCTCTTACTGCTGACAGTAAGCTTAAATGAACTTGCATTTTCCAAACAGATCTGCTTCCAGCATAAAACAGCTCCACAGTGCAATATGCTCTCCCGCTACTTTATGACAATACTTATCAAATTACCATTTATCTGCAGAAATTCAAACACTTTCACCCCAGACAGATAAAGAGACATCTTGAACACAGAAAATGCAAAATTACCTGACTAAGAGTTTGAAAATGTACTGTGACTTGGAGAAACCAGATGTATTTTTCCTCTTCTACTCCTTTCATTTTGACAGACATACAATTTTAGTTGAAGGATTTAAAAAAATATTTTCTTTGAATAAACTTTTACTTGTTTTTTACTCTTTTTTTTTTCCCCAAGAAGTGTTTTATATGAAAAAACAATAGCCAAGACATTTTGATTGATGAAACACCCTAGCTAGTCATGTAGTATGAATCAGACTGCAATGTTTGGACCCCTTCAGGTAATCCAAGTCTTGGCAAACTGTGGGCCTTTGGTTTTTTCCTACTGGAGAGGTGAGGAGCAGATAGAAGCCCCAGAAGACCTTGCAAGGCAAAAGCTGCCTCTTCCATCTAGCAGTTTATATATACACATGTTCTAGCTATTACTCAGGTACGTCATACTACAATTAAACCCTACCGAGTTGTTGTGTATCAAGTATTTACTCAAGCTGATTTGACTCAGATGTTCCATAACGAAGACTGCTCTTTAATTAACATGTGAAATAGAGGTCAAGAAGAAAGAAAATATGCTCTTTGCATAGTCACCTTTCTTTGTTACCATTTGAAGCTAAAGGTGGGCGTGTGTCAAACCCCAGATTCTCTAGACAGATTACAGTTTGTCTCCTGGGTTTCCCACCTCACTGACATTGCAAGACCCACCAGGTCAAACAGCAGAGCCAAACAGCCACACTACTGTAACAACTTGCTTGTCTCTTCCCATTCTTTGTCCAGACTTCCCAGTCAAGGCCAGCCCTTTTCTCTCTCTCTTAAGGTTCTTTTTATTTCATTCCTTATCACTGCTACTCCTTTATTCTCCCTGTGAAGTGTGTATTTCCTACATCTCTCTCACTGAAAACAGGGCAAAACAGCTCCTCCATTTCTACTCACACTCAATTGCTCAAAGCATAATTGCAATTCAGTGCTTCCCCTTGTCTTTGGTTTGATATGTATATGTTAAACTCAGCAGCCAAGCAGCATACACAGAACTGTTTCAGATTAACAGCTTTACACATATCAACTACATTTTTAAATTGCGCCCACCCAGAGTTGATTGTATGTCACTCTATTCTCTCACAGCATCCCTCCTCAGCCTTCGCCCACACTCATGTGTTAACTCTAACATCGTAAAACGACAAGCTCAAGCAATGATAACCACCAGGAGCAGGTGACTCTACCCAAGCACCTTTCTCTTATATCTTATCCAAAAAAGCATCTTGCATAATTACAACCTCCACACTCAGAGCTAAGACTTTTTCAATACTCTTGAAATGCTATTTCATCGCAAGAGGTTAGTTCCATTAAAAGTCAGTTGTGGACTCAAAACTCAGGATAAGCACTAATGGCAGTTTAGGGGCCCCAACTGGGTGCCACGTAAGTATGTTTCATCCTGGGTTGTATTAGAAGGGGGGTGGTTAGTAGGTCGAGAGAGGTCCTCCTTCCCCTCTACTCTGCCCTGGTGAGACCTCATCTGGAATATTGTGTCCAGTTCTGGGCCCCTCAGTTTAAAGGACAGGGACCTGCTGGAGAGAGTCCAGCGCAGGGCAACTAAGATGATTAAGGGAGTGGAGCATCTCCCTTATGAGGAAAGACTGAGGGAGCTGGGTCTCTATAGTTTGGAGAAGAGGAGATTGAGGGGTGACCTTATTAGTGTATATAAATATATAAAGGGGGAGTGTCACGAGGATGGAGCCAGGTTCTTCTCAGTGGCAAACAATGAAAGGACGAGGGGTAATGGGTACAAATTGGAGCACAAGAGGTTCCACTTAAACTTGAGAAGAAACTTCTTCTCAGTGAGGGTGACGGAACACAGGAACAGGCTGCCCAGGGAGGTTGTGGAATCTCCTTCTTTGGAGACATTCAAAATCCGCCTGGACACGTTCCTGTGTAACCTTATCTAGGTGTTCCTGCTCCGGCAGGGGGATTGGACTAGATGATCTTTTGAGGTCCCTTCCAATCTCTAACATACTGTGATACTGTGATACTGTGATGTTTCCATTCTGTTACAATGCCACTTACCTTTGAGCTAGCCCAGCAGAAGTACTTTGTTAACTCTCTTCAAGATCAGTGTTGTTAGAGTAAGTAACACCAATTTTCATTTGGTTCTCTGCTCACAGAGATCAAGAACTGAACATAGAAAAAAGGGCCATTTTTCTTCTCTAAGAAGACCTGTGTAGGTCAAGGATGCATGGAAGTGCAATTAGTGAGGGTAAGAGAAAGGCAAAGGGCCATCAACCTCTAACTCCTTGAGAGTATTAAAATTACTACAATAAGGAAAAGGAAGAGGATACAAGTCTTCCTATTTGCCCTTAAATGCAGAGCAGCTAAGCAATCACACAGTATAGCTTGGTAGCCACTTGGCTTCTGAGACAAGAGAACAAAATATCGAAGCATTGCTAGTCCTGACAGCAAAAGCATGCCACTTTATCTTCTTTGCAGGTTGAAGAATCAAAGAGCAGCAGCCTGCAAGATTCAAGATCCACTAAAGCTCCTGAGACACGACTTTAAAGTATCCGGGCCATTCCCTCTGAGTCGGTTAACAGCAACCACTGCAGCTGCTTCCTGCAACACAGCACTAACTTTCCCCCTCCCTCCACTGAAATTGTGTTGGCTTTTTTAACAGCCTACTCACTCAAAGGCCAAAAATCAACTGACCTGACAGAGTTTAAGATCTGCCTGTTCTGCAGGTCTTTTTGAGAGAGAAAGAGCAAGGCAGTTTCAGCTAAGTCTCAGCAGCTGTTAATAAATGCTTCCATAAATGTTGAAGGGCAACCATTTTATAAGCTATATAAATTAATATTTCAATAATCTTTCAAACATCTTCAAAAGATATCCCTCTCTCTGGTAGCTACTGAAATAAGTGATTCCATTTATTCTCATTGAAGCAGGTCTTAAGGGCATGAAGACACCCCATTAGGCTTTCTGGTATTCATACAGTTTGTTTTGCTCACAAAAAGGCAAAAGTTATCTACAAAAATCCAAATATTCTACTTCCAAGAACCTGCCTCACATCTTGAGGGGGGCCATGAGGTATTCCTCCCTGCTATAGGGGACATCAGCAGGACAACCACAACCCCTTGAGAGCTGCAAATTCCTGT